GAGGTGGTAGTTCACGAACTTACAACACAGTTACCTAAATTCCATCACGACGTTGGAATTCTAGCCAGCAGAGTGCGGTTTTGAGCCTCAGCGTTTGCAAAAACCTTAGGTTTGCTATGGCGGGATGATGACGGCTAGTAGGCTAGAAATTTTCAGCTAAGCCCCATTGTCTTGTCAGTAATGTTAGTCTGAATACACTGGATTAAAATTCTGCATTGACCACCGGAATAAGGACCCCGTACTAGTGGGTCGCCTTACGCTGGGTATCTATTCTCGTGTCGTAATTTTAATCCTAACACTATCCCTACGCGCTGGAATCTTGCGCCAGGGGATGAATATAACTGTGCCTCATCTAATTCCGAGTTTTTGACAGTTAATGTGGAGGGTGACTGTTGGCAGACATTCTGCGCACCAGCCCTTGACTACGCAAAGTCGTAAGAAAACACTTTTTGACCTCTGCTCCTATTTCTTTAAAAAAAAGCAAACAACAGGTTGGATATCGGGCCCCATGAAAAAGGAAACCGCTTACTCAGAAAAGTGCCGAAATTTAGCTTTATGTGGCACCGGTGACAAGTCGAATTAAGAAGACTGATAAATGTCTGAGGGGACGATGACTAATTCCACCCCCTAGTCTATCATCGGCGCCTTCAAAACATACTTCACACAGTTAGACTTGCCGTGTCTTCGCATGTTCTTTGGCAGCTGGACACAAAGGCACCGTGTTAAAAGATATCTTTTGATAGTCATTCAAAATAAATGGTTCATGAAGATAACCATCTCAACTTTTTGCCGTTACTATGGGTTGCCGTAAAATCCCGAAAGCCCAGGCTTATGAATTGATGCTTCCCATAATTGATCGGCCTGTCACAACATGTTTCATAGTCCCTGGACTTTAATTCAAGTTTTAGGTTTACATGAAATATTTCAAGGTTAGACGGAGTTTTGGGCTCTGTGAACATCGATCCAGACTCCGATGCCCCCACTTCCTAGGTACGTCGAAAAGCCTGTGGTCGACTTCTCGAAGATTCCCAAATCGTCGGCCAGACAAGAAAGCGCGCGCACGACGCTTCAGGCGGTGGAACCAAGTCGTCTCGCCGGGAGAATGAGTGTGTTGAGGCTGTAGCCCCAGCGCAAAGCCTGCAGCCAATCAGCGAAGGACACGGTGCGATGACCCCAGAACTTTTGCCACGCCGGCGCCAAATCTGGTGCGACTCAAGCAATCCGTTTGGCAGGGAGCGTGGGCAGACTGAGGGCGAAATGGGCGAGCGGTCGTGCTAGCGATAACAAGTGTGATAAAACTCGCGTCGTCCGGCGGGGCCTCGTAGCTCAGGTGGTTAGAGCGTTGGCTGTACTAAAGCCTTCCCCCTTACTGCGTGGGTTCGAATCCCACCGAGGCGCCGAGTTTTTCACAGTTGGGTCAATATGAATAACAAGAGTAAACTGTCAGAAGCCTCTCAGCAAAAAGGGGCAGATGGTTTGCCGCAAGGATCGTTTTGTCGCTACCAGCGACAAGGAGAATTTCAAAAAGTAGACGGGAAGAAGGAGACTCGATTACTGGAACAAATATATGTGCTCCACATTTCGGATTCGCACTCGTACCCGTAATCAGACATCCCGTCAGGAGGGATGTGGTGTTCATAGGATGTAGTTGCTACGCAACCACGTGCCTCTAAATGATCGGCACCCACATTCTTCGCAGATGGCAGCTTTCGATGCCGTGATTGCTTGATCGTCCGCATTCGAGTAGTTCGTCGCCACAATTTCATCGGTGTCGACTTTTGGCTTGATGATGACTCGGGCATTTGGCTCATAGATCCTGTTAGTGGAAGCGGTATCCGTCTGCGCGTTCCCCGCATGACTACCCACTTGGATCGAACACACTCATGAAATGTCAATCGAAATTTCGAAATGCAGTTTCGTTTTGAAAAGATTAATTACGTAGGGATGTAAAACTTATAACTGTGCAGCATAATTCTATAATATTTCAGTTATCTCAGGATGCTGGCTTTTGAAATAAGATCGTTTTTGGGTGCATACAAGACCTATACACTGTAAAAAACGACTATCTAATTAGCATGCATTTTTCTCATTGATTTTCGATGCCCTTAAAAGCTCAATTATATTTCATGGAAATCATGCATAAAATATTCATTCTCTCGCTCATTCGGTCAACAATTACGCTTTCTTCCAATTACGAGCTCGGAGGAAGTGTATAATTCGTTTTTAAAAAAGTTTCTTTTTTTCAATTTCGTGAAATGGCCGTCCACCAAACGTCATGCCTCTGCATTTACCAATGTGACTTGTAAAGTTAACAATACTGCTCAAATCCACTGTATAATTTTATGAACCCCATATGGTCTCCTTTTAATGCCGTAGAGAAATGTACGGTTTCCCGTACACGGAAAATATACGGTTTGTAGTTTTGAAACCCTGAATACAAGTATAACAGCAGGTCTGGTTCAGAATTATACGGGAATTACAGTTTTTGAAAACCGAATTATACTCTTCCTTTGAGTATAAAACTGGAAGAGGACGTAATGTTCGACCGAATGAGCGAGAGAATGAATATTTTATGCATGATTTCCATGAAATATAATTGAGCTTTTAAGGGCATCGAAAATCAATGAGAAAAATGCATGCTAATTAGATAGCCGTTTTTTACAGTGTATAGGTCTTGTATGCACCCAAAAACGATCTTATTTCAAAAGCCAGCGTCCTGAGATAACTGAAATATTATAGAATTATGCTGCACAGTTATAAATTTTACAACCCTACTTACTTAATCTTTTCAAAACGAAACCGCATTTCGAAATTTCGACTAACATTTCACGAGTTTACCCACCTACTGTGTGTTTGAAGTACGTTTACCGATCGGATTATGCGATAGCCTCGTCCCGTTGCGCCTTATGACCCAATTAAAGGCGGTCGCACAACAACTAGTTGTATATGCAGCAGGAAAGCATCGGAAAAGACAAGGGAGTGTAGAAGATCGTTGGCCTTACTAACACCTGATGACCAAAAACGCGGTTTCAGGGCTTAGTTCGCACAAACGTGGATTTCGGTACGACTGGCCGAAGATGGCTAACAGACTAGAAATGACCATCCCACTCTCCCTTCTATTCGTCGGTATCCTCCTTCATAATATACTACCAATCGTCTTACGACAGTCCGCGAGGACTTTGGATGGCGCCCCAACTCACAACGGGACGGGCATGTTCAGGAACGCGATTTCCCCATCTCAGTTGACAGCACAATGAGCTCTTGACTCAGTGCTCGAGCATCAAACCTAAAAATACATAAGCAGCTCACTAATAGTGCAATAGGTCAGATGCAAACAGCCGTTTCGCGATCCTTGCCGATCATCAGTACGTTGTCATAGGCCTTACGAAGTGAGGCGTGTGACCCTCAATATTGTGGTTGAGATCTCACTCGATCCTGTTGCATTCTTAGTGATCTGCTGATGTGGTGTGTGTGTGTGTGTGTGTGTGTGTGTGTGTGTCCTATGGGCACAACGTTCGTTGTCGACATGTAGCAAGCTTGCACGCGGAAAGAATGGGATTGAGTGGAATCCTAACCACAACAGTTAGGGTCACTCAGTGCCGCTTGACGAGTAAAGAACGCGGGCTCGATGCTCGGGTGCAGTAAAACCTGAGTTTGGACTTGCCGGCCGACGACAGAGGAGAGCCGTACGGTTTTCGCCCATCACGATAATTTTGTCTTCGTCGAACTGGCATGTGCTGTAGGGTGCTGTCCAATGAGCCGCGCGACGATATCAGCAATCATCGCATGTTGATCAGCTGGACAGTCACTTCCATGATTCAGAATGCGGTTGCCATTCGGAAGGTCACCGAAACTTGCAGTGAGCAGATGCACGTTTCAGCAGCGCTGCTAGTTTCTATCAGGCGCTGATGTGAATATTATTTGATCACATGTGGTTATTTAGCCGCACCCGGGGTAAGCAAACCCCAGCCGCTTGTAATATGGGGCCGATGGTAATAGATGTTTTTACAGGTGGGGCCGGGGAACGCACAGGCGACGCGGCCAAGTAATTGTATGCAAATGAAAAGCTCTTGGGAATTAGCGGTTGTACTTTGAGTGGTTAAAAAAAAGTTGCCCTGACACTAATCCTAAACCCTAACCCTTTAGGTCTAGTCTTAGCCCTAACCCTTAACCACAGCCCTAAACCCTAACCCTGAAACATCCAACGTTAAAATTAGAAGGGGACGACAGGCCGGAAGTCAAGAATGACCATTAGCACTGGGCCGAATAAAGTAGAAACGGCATCAAAGAAACAAGGCCGCCAACAGAACACACACCGCAACACACGCCATCACCATGCCAACGTAATCGCACCAATTTAAAATAGTTAAGCAGGTCAACAGTAGTGTGTCCATCAGATGCGTCTACATAACCACATCTTACCTATTAGCCTACAGTCTTTGTAGTGGTAGAGGGACTCTCACTGATTGTTCTTACGGAGCTCACTCGTCCCTTTCTGTCTTACAGGCTCTCTTTCTCGGGTCCAACCAGCAGCCGCACAGCGGCGCATGATATAGGCAGAATGGTATTACCGACAAAGACAAGGGAGACTGGAATGGCCATTTCTGGCTAATTAATCATCGACCGACAGGACAACGAGCCCGTGACACAGTGGCTAGAGGCGTTGGACTTCTAACTAACAGGTCGCGAGTTCGAGCCTCGGATGTCTCACACTTCGGGTTGGGTATGACCGGCTGACGACGGCTAATAAGCCAGAAATGGCCATTCCACTCTCCCTAGTCTTTGTCGGTAATGCCATTCAGTTCTTGTATTGCATATCTACAGACTGCTACTTCTTAAGAGCCTTTTGGTTCAACTAGTTATGTTTTTGAAGAAGAAGAAGAGTCGAGCACCGGAACAATTCGTTTATTATCCTGAGCTTTCAGACTCGTACAGGAGTCCATCGTCAGAGGTAGTGGCAGAAACAGGACAAGCGGCAGTTATAAGGCACGTAGACCCAATCATCGACCGACGTCGCACGACTGGAGGTGACTACGAAGGGCTCTGTACGCCGGCGCCAGATCGATAAATCGATTGACCGAGTTCTCATCCGAGGCCCAAGCTTCAATCAATTCTCGGCCTGTTTTGTTTCCGGCGTGGGCAACTATTTTGGTGGCTGCGAAGTTAAACTCGTGACCTAGTTCGTAGTTGTGGGCGGCCACTTGTGATAATGCGTCGCCTCGCCGCACAGCCAGCTTATGTTCATGTATGCGCGATCCGAGCATGCGTCCAGTCTGTCCTGTGTAATTACAAGGACAATTTTGACACGGAATGCGATACACTACTCCAGATTGGTCTTCAAGCCTTAACCGGTCTTTGATCTTCATGACCCTGTTGCGCATGGTGGCTTTGGGGCGGTGTGCGATTCCAACCCCTAGCTCCGCAGCAATGCGCTCGGTCGCTTCTGAAACACCCTTGATGTATGGCAGAGAATGCCATATCGTCGGTGGCTTTGATGTTTGAGTTCTCTGGTGGCGACCGCGTAGGCAGCGACTTATGAATGCCCTCGGATAGCCATTTTGCACAAACTGGTCGCGGAGATAACGGGCATCACGCGCTCTATCTTCCAGTTTGCTGCAATGAGTGTGTATCCGTTTGAAGAGCGTCTTCACACAGCTTCGTTTGTGAACCACCGGATGGTTGCTGTGAAAACTGAGAAGCTGTGTGGTGTTCGTTGCCTTCCTATAAACCGTCGTTTCAAGTTCACCGTTAAGGTTTCGTCTGACGAGCACATCCAGAAAGGGCAACTGCTGCTCCTGTTCTTCTTCTCTCGTGAATTTTATATCCGGGAAGACTGCGTTGAGCAGGCAGTGAAAATGTTGCAGCATGTCCTTCTTTACGATGACGAACGTGTCGTCAACGTAACGTCGCCAAAACACCGGTTCATGTTGGAGGAAGGCAATCTTTTCCAACTCCTGTAGGACCAGTTCTGCCACCAAACCGGAGACCGGTGAGCCCATTGGGGTTCCCTTGATTTGTTCATAGGTCTCTACCGCAAAAGTGAAGAAAGTTTGTTGGCAGAATTCAAACAGCCTCATGAGGTGTTCAATTTTGAGGGCATTCTGAGTCTCATCGTACGCCTCTTCAAGTCTCTTGCGCAAGACTTCGCGGGCCACGTTTGGTGGGATAGATGTGAATAACGACGTCACATCGAAGGAGACCATGATTTCGTCCGATTGAATTCTCCGACCTCTGAGGTCTATGAGGAATTGAGAGGCTGATCGAACTGAGGCAGTCGAATTGCCTTGGAGGAACTTCAGTTTTGAGTACATCCACTTTGCCAAATTGTAGGTGGGGCTGCCTTTTAGGGCAACGATTGGCCGAAGTGGGACATTTGCTTTATGGATTTTTGGCTGAGCATAGAATCGGGCTAGAGCGGTGTCAGTTGCCCTCATTTGGTGCCATTCATTCTCCGTGATCACATTTTTATGTCGGTATTCTCTAAGCAGTTTACTCAGCCGATCTGCCACTGCTTTGGCTTGTGACTTCTGTGCTGGTCTGTAAAATTCTCTGTCATCAAGAAGGGCTTTAGCTTTTTCATTATAGTCTTCTCTATTCATCACGACGGTTGATCGTCCCTTGTCGGCAGGTAGAATGATAATGCTGTCGTCCCTCCTCAGTTCCCTCATTGCCTTTGACTCACTCTGTGAAATACATTTGGTTGGTCTGTGTGTCATCAGCAAGGAGGTAACACGCTGTCGGACGGAGTGTTTCATGTCGTCGGATGTTTCACTTCTCACAAGCATAGCTTCCAGGGCTGCAATGAAGTCGACAGGATCGGCATCTGCAGTGTTGAAACACGTTTCATGCTGCAACACTCGTAGTTGCTGCTCTGTTAGCTGCTTAGACGAGAGGTTGTGGACCAAGTTTGAGCTTTCTGTGCCTGGTGGTTTTAGCTTAGTCAGTTTCCGTTCCAAAACTTCTCTCTTCTTGGCTTGCCTGTGGTGTGCCACAGCAGAGATCGTCTTCCCAAGATCTGCGGCGATAGAATCGCCGAGAGTGTGGACACACTGCCTTCTGTTCTCCTCGATCTCAGTTATGTTTTTGCCCTGCAAGAAAGTAGGGACCGCCCTAGCACCGCTGCCTGCTGCCAATTGAAACTGGTGTTGACCATCACTATGGCATCGCACGCAGCCATGTGTATAATTGGTTAACCCCCTATTACCATCTAAAGGGCAAATATTTTTTTCAAAACCATGGGCAGGTTGGGCTGACGATTAGTATTAGGTCCGGCTTCATTACAAATATAGGGCAGCCCTTCACCTAAATGCCTCCGACGCTGGGGACGGCACCGCCCCCCCCCTCCCCCCACCTGAAGGTCCTGCCCCCCTCCCCACATCGACCGGTGTCTGCATTTACGCACGCACGCGCGCGCAAATGAGCCCTGACGGACGCACCGCGTGCACCGACTGACACAGGTCAGGAATGAGAGGTGAAGACTGGAGACCAGTATGCGCGAACTAAGCCGTTCAGACGGAAAGCTCACTGTCTCTCGTGGTCGTTAACCGATCAGAACCAACTCCCACCTTCCGCACTGCTGCCACCGGTCAGACTTGATCCGGTGGCGAATCGATCAACAAGTGTATTAGCTCCGCATGCTTGTTGAACCCCTACGAAAGTCAAGCGGAGGGACGCTTGAATCAGCCCCAGGGTTGAGGACTACCACAAATG